TATTCACATGAATAGTGGCACCCCTAGCCCCCCCCCCCCTGCCATGGCAAGGGGCAAATGGGTGGAGGTGCTCTTAGCTACCCCTAAGAGCACTTCCACTCATTTGCCATGGCAAAAGGCAAGGGCTGTTACTATTCATGTGAATAGTGGCAGCCCTTGCAAAAGATTGTGGTGTTTCTGCCCATTGCCAGGGCAACAACTATTCACATGAGATATGAGGAGAGGAATTTGTATAGAGTTTTGGTGTGGAAAGTGAAGAATATGACTAAGTATTTATTTTTTTTAAATTCTGAAATTTTTTATATTTTTTGTAGACTTTTTTCAATTTTTTAATTTTTTTTTGGTTGCTGACGTCTTCAGCAAACCCAAGCTAGAGCACGGGCTTGTTTTGCCTGAGGGCTAGCCTGGTTTCGTGGGCCCCAGCAGCTTTAGCTCGCAGGAAGACGAATTTGGGATTGGGCCCCCTCCTGCCCCGATAAGGGCAGCCCGCTGGAACTGCTCTAAAAGCTGAAAAGAAAGTTAATAAAATCATATTTGTAAATGGTGGAATCATCAATGGATATATTTTAGGGAAAACTTGGCTACATTTTACACTTATAATACTAATTAAAAACGAGTTCTCATAAACACATGATATATCTATACATTGAAACATGACGGGAACTTTATTATTCTAAACTTTAGAACTTATAATACGAAATAAAGAAGAAGAAAAAACCATTTTATGAGGAACCTAGAAAACCGTTTAAGGAATTAAAAATTGAACAATGCAAGTAGAAAAGGTGCCTCCTAGGGCATTAGCTGGTTCTATGGTGCCTCAGAGGCGCTCTCTTAATCCCTCTTGTGAAAAGAAGAAAAAATTATGTGCGACAGATTAACTTTAGGGAAACAACAAGTTTATGGAAACAACAAGATGTGTGGAAAGATCAGGAAAATCACTAAGACTTAAATTTGTTCATCTTTCAATTTGCAAACAAGCATAATTTATTTTTTGGTTGAAAATTAATGTTGAAATTGCATTGTTTGTCTCGTGACTGTTTGGTTTGTAATCTAAATGACGTCTTATTTGCTAGATGCATTTTGAGGGGTACGACTTATTATTTCCTCATTGCTAGGTATATCATATTTTGTTGTCAATGAAATTCACTCGTACCATCGAGTTTGTTTGTAAGGTAAATCCAATTCAGTCTATTTTGAAATCCTGGATTCGTCTCTGATCCTGACATGTGTGGAGTTTTATCACAAAAGTTATTGTCGTTATTAGTAGTGGAACTACTCATATATTATATTTGTTTAATCAAATGTCCGATGTTATATTTTCACATTCTTCAACAATAATTGTGTGGAATTATAACACAACCTCACCATGTCACGTATCCAAACCTCCTTTGTCAAAACTATACCACATTGAATAACACCAGTCATTGATTTTTCTCCCAATTTATGGAAGACCATTCTCGGCCGCAGCGGTCAAATCTTTCAACCAAATCTGGGTGTGTCTATATTATCACTCTTCATCTTCTCACTAATGCTTTTACTGATTTAAGCTCAAACAAATACTTCACGTATCAAACCCGTAACTCATTGAAGTTCCTTTGTTTCTTTCTCTTCTTAACTACTCTTTTAGAGGGACATGGGAAAGTCTACTCACTGTGTTGCGTCGTCATCCGGCATGAAGAATGGTTCATGGACTCCAGAAGAGCCAAAAGCTCCTAGCTTTCGTTCAAAAACATGGTCATGGAAAATGGCAATCCTTGCCCCAGAAAGCTGGTAAAGTTCTATATATTACTGATTTCTACTCTTCTTTCATAGGTTTCCAATCAATTACAATTCGACAGCTAATTGCATTACATACTACTTGGATTTTTGTTAACTTATATATTTGGACACACAATCAATATAAATGTTAACGGATAACCTTATATATTTTATAGTAAATTGAGCTTAGACCCATAAAATTCATTTTAAATCACCTACAACCCTTTCCTTTAGTTTTCTATTTTTTTTCTCTAATAATGTACCTAGTAAAACAATTTACCTAGTATAATGAACCTATTTTTTCGCTAAATTTTGTATCTATTTTTTTCTCTACTAATGTATACCTAGTATATAATGAACTTATTTTTTCCTTCTAAATAATGTACCTATTTTTAATTTATAAAAAATGTGTATAAATTTCAATTATACAATGCACCTATTTTCTATAAATTGTTGTGTACTTATTTTTAATTTATGAAAAATGTATGGAGAAATATCAATTATAAAGTAACTGACCTATTTTTTAAAATTTGTTTTGGTAAATAATATACTTATATATTTATATTTATATTTTTCATATGTACATTATTGGACATGTAATTTACATATATATTTTTTTGGTTTGCAATTTTAGGGGGCGGTATGTTAGAGGGAATGGCAACCAAAAGAAATGGGGTGATTGATATGCTATTAATGGGGAGTTTTAATTACAATTATAGCAGTTAATGAAATGCTTGGAATTAATTATAAATAAAATATGAAGTATGATGGCAATGATGTAAAAACATAGGAATACTACGACCTCTTATATCTTACTGGTTATTTAAGTTTGAAATTGGGTTTTACACATAGATTTATAGAATGATGGGTATATGTCTAGAAAATAGAAATTGTAGGGACCTATATTGGACAAACCCTATATTTTAAGACAGGGTTTTCTTGAACTTGGTCTGTTTTATAAATTAAAAAAACCATATATGATCATGATAACAGGTCTTCAAAGATTCTGCAAGAGCTACAGGCTAAGATGAAGAAACTACCTACGACCAGGACCTGATATTAAGAGGGGAAACTTCAGGGGAAACAGCACGTCTAATCAGTTGAGGGGGCATGCTACATGCAAGTTTTTTGTCAAAGTATCTTCAGATAGAAAATTATGTTTTGTCATACATCCCAGTCCTTTTTCAGCTGGTGGACCACAGACAGTAGGATCAATGCTTTCAAATCCATTGATGAAGACATGAAACTCCACAACTTTCCTCCTGCCGCCAATACACTATATTGATCAATGATCATCGTACCAAAAAATCAATCCAATTAAAAGCATTAAATATTTGTTCATATCATCACCAAATGTCAGTGTTTACTGGAAACCATTTAACCATTTCAACAGCACAAAATGAGGGGAGTGGGGGGCGCCTTCCTCGATGGAGCAGAAGCCCTAAGGCTCCCTCTCTGGATGAGAGGTTGAAAAAGGTTTCAGACATATCCGAGGGGTCCAGATAATTTATTAGGAAAATTAGGTATTAGACATAGATAACTTTACTTATTAGTATTTAAGACATTTGATATTTTGGTTTGAGTTTTAATACCTAGAAAAGAATTGTTATTTTGGATTAGGTCAAAGAGGAAGACCAGATTTGTTGACCCACCTTACATTAGTCATTAAAAAGACAATTATACCCTTTTCATTTAAAAACCTAATCCAAATTCGTTAGTTTCTCAGATCTCTCTCTCTCTCTCTCTCTCTCTCTCTCTCTCCCCGCATCTTCTCCCTTTCTCCCCGCATCTTCTCCCTTTCTCCTCCCCTCTGTTTCGACCGACACCGACAAAACCCCCCAGCCACTGTCACGTCGGCCACCCAGCCACCGGACCGGTCAAGTTTTGACTGGCGTCGCACCCCAAGCCAGCTCCGACCTCCTCCTACCTCTGCTGCTGCTGTTTTGCCGGAAAACCCCGGTTTTGATCGGATTTTTACTCGGTTTTCTAATCCCTCGATCTCTCTCCTCTGGCCCTCAAATCCTTCGATTGAGGTATGGTTTTCTAGCTATTTTCCACGATCAAGCTATTAGTTGGGTAAGATTTCAGAAATTTTGAGGTTTAATTGGTTAATTTCGGAGTTATTTTCCACGAAAACGAAAACGAAACTGCGATGCAGAAAACGAAACTTCGATGCAGAAACTGAAACTGCGATGCAGAAAACCGCAGAAACAGAGATGAAGAATCGGCTTTGATCGTTGGTGGTCTTCGATGATGGTCGTGCGAATGGGTTGGTGGTCTTCGATGATCGTTGGTGGTCTGGAAGTTTCTGGAGGTGAAGTTGAAAGGTCGCGCGAATGGGTTCTGATTCAATTTCGGTTTTGGTTGATGTTGTTTTGGTTCAGTTTTGGTTTGATGTCGTTTTTCAGCTTTGGTTTAAAACTAAATACTGAAAATGGCATATGTTGTAATTTTCATATTTTGTAATGGTATTTTTGTTACATTTTGGTGTTTGGCCTTTTGCTAATTAGACTAAATTGTATTTCTTTCTACTAAATTAGTAAACTATATTATGGTTTAAAATTAAAGCTCCCTAATTTATTTTCCAGTTTGTGAATCTTACGTTACGATGTGGTGGAGAGGCGTACCTAGAAATTTTGTTACGATAGTGATTTTTGGTTTTCTGTTTATGAGTTTAGATAATCATGTTGTAGCGTTGGATGGATTTTTTTAATTTTTTTTTTTTTTTTTTTTTTGACATAACAGCGATACTAAAATAGAAGTTATTTAAAACTCCAATAGCCAGATGGTAAACCCATAAATATTATCTCCTATAAGCTACCCCTAAAAGCTGAAAAGAAAGTTAATAAAATCATATTTGTAAATGGTGGAATCATCGATAGATATATTTTAGGGAAAAACTTGGCTACATTTTATACTTATTAATTAAAAACGAGTTCTCATAAACACATGATATATCTATACATTGAAACTATTGAGGCCCAAAAAATCCAAGGCTGGGCCCAAATATATTTCTGACCCAATACAACACTTAACTGGGAAAGAAGCCTGACTTGGGTATGCAAGAATTTGTCGTATGTGCTTACGCAAGTTATGGTCCACATGCCACTCCAAGCAAACACGCAACCCGCCATGCAGAGAGGCCGTAACGAGCCTGTAAAATGTACTGGTTCTATGAACCCACGCTTAGGAGAATATGTAAGCATGAGAGAGAGAAAAGTGACCCAATGCCTTAGAAGAATATCTAATGGTCTACTGCAACACTTAGAAAATCCCACATTAGCTAAGGCATCCAGTACCTTGTCAAAAAACGAAGCAAATGAACTACTTCCAGTAGCTTGACCAAACCAAACTCACAGGCCGTTGGAAATAGAGTGCCAATGACCCAATACCTTAGAAAAAGCCTAGCCTAGCACCTTATAAAATATCTAGCATCGTATCTAGCGTTGTCAAAAGCCTCATAACCAAGTCAAATGGTAAGCCACTGCAAAAACCAAAGGAAATTCATATGCGCAGGAGGAATACCCATTAGACTAACGCCCCTACCCTTGTTTCTTTCTTCTACAAGCTCAAATAGGAAAACTAGAGAGAAAAGTGGGTGGCGCCTCACCCATATGAAGAAGTCCAACTGCGTGAGGACCTTGGAACCCCAAAAAGCTTCATGCATATGCCCTCAGGCTAGGAAAGTTTCACCAAATAAGATTGAATGGAAGAAAGTGAAGGAAAAGGGAGAGGGTGGCTTGATAAAATTGAGGGTTCCAATACCTATAAAAGGAGGCACCTTCTACCCAGCAAACACACCATCTAGGAGTGCGACCAAGCTTTTGTCAATCAACTGGAAATTTACTCAAGACACCCCATTCTCTATTCCCATCTCTCCCTCTCTTCCTTAGTCCAAATCCCCCCAAATTTCTCTCTCCCCCTTGCTCTGAACCTTTGTTTCCATAGGAAATCCAAGCTCTCTCTCTCTCTCTCTAACGCTAAATTCATAAAGGCTCAGCTCCCATGCCACAAGTTGAAATCATGGGCATCACCTTTTTGGTGAGAAATCCAAAGGCGCGACCATGCATTCCTGAAGTTGCTGAAAGCCTAATCAAACAAGTTGTAGCTGTTGGAACACCTATTCCACTATGTTTCAAGCAAATCCCTTCCAGCGTCTGCTCCACCTCTATCATCAAGCAATAGCTTCACAGTAGCTGATGTATCCTTCTCATCAAAACTTTCAATGTACTGAAGAGCCATTGAAGAAGACCAAAGCACTCCCTAAGGTCTCAACTCTTTTGGGGTGTTTTGGGGCTTGGTGCTGCAAACTCATACAGGGGCGCAAGAGAGCTCGATCTACTTCATAGTGGTTCAACAAGCCCATTGTAGCTCTCAACAAAAAGACACCAACATAAATGACAACTCTATTGGGGACTAGGCCATGATTCGATGGTTCTGTCATATTCATAAGTTATGCGATGCAATACTTATTGCTGCAGTGAACCATCAAGAAAACTAAAAGATACAAAGCCTTTTGTTTCAATGATGTGTTGCCAATTTATTATTGAGTCAATAATGGTTTCTAACATCTTTTATGTTGTTTTGCCTTCTTATGGAATATCTGTAATCAATTTGGTTTTGATATACCCCTGGAAGATCCCGTTGGATGAGATGAGGCCAATTAAGCTTTGACAAGAAAACAAAATCACGATTTAAATTTTACAAATGCAAGATATTTTCTACTGAAAACCCAATCCGAAGTACAAAAAAATTATTATTCTAACAAAAATCCGATCCGAAATAAATTACTAAATTTAAAGCTACTTAATAAATATATACATATATATACCGTTTAAAAATATTTCGATTAAGTCATGCAAAGATTTAAAAAAGATATTTTTTTTAGTAAATTTATTTTTGTAAAGACTTTGCGCGACGAACAAAAGCAAATGTTCGTCGGGCAAGGTGAGGGAAAGATTTTAAAAAATAAGTTTTTCTTTTCATTTTTTTTTAAAATACTTTGCGCGACGAACAGGAGCAAATGTTCGTCACTCAAAGTCCTTACGAAATGAAAAAAAAATAAAAATTTTTAGAATCTTTCCCACACTTTGGTGACGGCTTTGACCTTGTGGAACGAAGTACACCTTTTCTCTCGTCGCGCAAAAGGCTGCCTTTTGGTTCTATTGAGTGATTTAGTAGTTAATTACTCTCTTAAAAAATCTTTAACTCCTAAAGGTCCATTAAACTTCAAATTCAACATCAATATATTGTTATTATATAATTAAAATGCCACACATATAAACTTTTATCAACTCTCTCTAACATGCTTCCGTAAAACTCATTTAAGCTTTTGATTTTGAAACACATCTCTCAATCAAGCTTTTAAGTTAATTCAGCTATGGCGTGTTTTCATGAGACTCCAACATCTTCAGCTCATGATAAACCTTTGAAATACATCATAAAGCTTTTGAACTTCAAGTCTTCAACCACGACTTCTCTTCGCAAGATGATTCTTTCTCTTCAGCCATGACTTCTCTTCGCGCATGTTTTAAATTGTTGCCTTTTCGTCATCAATTATTTATATTATTTGAGAATACTTGCAAATTTTTTAATATGATTCATCAGTAATTTTTATAATCATTCTTGTTTAAAAAATAAAATAAAAAAATCTAAACCCTATCTTGCGAGACGAAGTTGTTCCTATTCGTCGCTCAATGGAGCTTTGCGTGATGCCAGGACGTCCTACGTCGCGCAATGTGATAATTTTTAGGGTTTATAAATTAGGGTTTAGGGTTTACGGTTGTTTGCTCGACGCCAGTGTATTTTAATGTCGCGCAAGGTGATGAAAATTTTGGCGGATTTATTACTTTGCGCGACGATTTTTTTCAGATGTCGCGCAAGGTGGCGAAAATTTTGGTGGAATTATTACTATGCACGACGACGGTTCTTTAGTTACGTCACGCAAGCTTTCCTTGCGTGACAAGTTGGATTTCGTCGTAGCACAAGTTGACGAAAAAGTTTCTCAAAACGACGCAACTTTGATATGCGTGACGAACTTAAGTGTTCGTCACGCAAGTTCGCGAAATTTTTTCTAAAAGTTGCAGAGTCGTCTTCTTTGGCTCTCACGTTCTTCAATCTCCGGCCCTCCCGCCATAACCACAACATCCAACCACCTCAACCCACGAAACCGACCCCAAATTTCAACCGGGCCACCACCACCTGTGAACCCTAGCCCTTCCCTGCCGTTTTCGATCGGATTTTGACCGGTTTTGCCACTGTTTCTCCTGGCGCGTGCTCCCTCCTCCAGCCATCAAATATGACGATTGAGGTATGGATTACACTCTTCTTTTAATGCTCTAGCTGATGGTTGGTTAGGATTTGATGAATTTCTAGTGCAAGTTGTTAAATTGAAACACCTAAATTTTTGTCGAATTTCGAGATGAAATTCCGGCCACTTCCGGCCCTTTTTGGGCCTATGTCCAAGAACAAAAGTGGCTCTAATCGATGTCCTGAACCTAGGGTAGGAAGATTAGCCCATGATTTTGAGATTTTTTCGGCAATGGTTATCGCTTTAGACACCCACGCGCCGGCGCGTGTGGCGGTGCGTGGGTATTGTAGCAAACCAACATTGTGTCCCGGTACGATCCCCTAGTTGTCATGAGCACGTAGGTATGTTCGAATTCCAATATGGATATCGTTTGAGCCTCAAACGGATGTCGCCTATTGTGCGATTTCCGGGTTTGATATGTTCGGACCGTTGGATCGAACCCAAACTCACGTATGTTGTTCCCTGTATTTCTAGAATCATATAGGATTCGACGGATCGTGGATCGGAGTCTCGGATACTCCAAAATCGCGAACCCTAGAACAAGATATGATTTACTTAATTAATTAAGATTCTTAATGAAATTGTATATGCTTAGTTGGTAAATTGGATTTATTTTTATGTTTGTTAATTAATGGAGATTTTAATATATTTTTGTTTTATTAGTTGTTGGGCTTTTATTTTTATTTTATTAGACGTTGGCCCCATTTAAAACAAAATTAAATAAATGTTTAAATAGTTTTGGATCACATATTGGAGTAACTATGTTTTTAACTTTGGATGCTTGTTCAATTGTGCAGATGTCAAACCTTATTAGAAGTCGTAAGGCCGTGACGACTGCACAGAGTTTGCCTCCCCTGGCTACGATGTCACCTGCCACTACTCCAGCACATATGGACGACATGCCAGTTTGTCCCGAGGTCTCCCATGCGCCGGCAACATCAGAGTCATCTGTGGAGCAACCTGTTAGCGCCAGGTAAAGATTTCATTCAACTCCAGCTGTTTCGGACCAAGATTTTAGTAGGATTTTTTATTTAACGTTAATTTTATATTTCTTTGTAGCCAAGAAGAACACCCAGGGACCTTGTTGCCAATTGAAGACGGCAAAGGTCACCCGGGTGACCAACAGTCGTATCAAAATCGAATACGACGAGCGGCATCGGGCTGCACCAACGGCAGACCAGCATAGCTCATTGGCCCACGACATTGG